TACAAAATATCTTCATGGAACATGATCTTTACTTAATATCCTAATGATTTTTGGCATAAAAGAAAAATGGATAATTTTGACCCATACAATGTATTGCTGGCTATTGCTACAAATATACCCCAGTGACTTAACACTGCTTTTGTGCTGCAGGGTCACATATAAGTTATACTGTATATAAGGCATCAGATGAGTTGTGTTAAGGGTTTAAATGTTTCGTTTCTCTTCTCCAGATTAAAAACGTGCTGAACTCTGCCCGGCTGCTGGGCGACGCTTCGGTTTCATTCACTAATAACTGTGTGTCTGGAATCGAGGCCAATACAGAGAGAATCAACAAACTGATGAACGAGTCTCTGATGCTGGTCACGGCGCTGAACCCTCACATAGGTAACCACAGCAGAGGGCGCTAGAAACTAAATATCTGTTCAGTAATTTACAGACCTGGTGCAATATTATCATTCCTGCACAGAAGACACTCTGGATGTCGTCAGTCGTCTCTCGCTCTCTTTCAGGTTATGATAAAGCCGCCACTATTGCAAAGACGGCGCACAAAGAGGGCTGGACTCTGAAAGCCACGGCCGTGAAGCTGGGATTCCTGACGGAGGAGCAGTTTGAGCAGTGGGTGCGACCGCAGGACATGCTGGGACCCAAATAGATCGGAAGCTCACGGGAATGCTGCCTCTGTACAATAAAAGACCTGTTCTGTTCAAATGCATTGGTTCTTTGTTGCTGTCGGTGTGGTTTCTCTCAATCACTGCACACTTTCAGACACCGGCTGAGCTCTTAAATTTGTCGTGACGGACGCTAAAGTTTATTTATGTTTATTCATATGACAGACGCGATTCACAGTATGTGCAGAGTTTAATATTTGATCAGTGTGTGTGTGAGTTACCTGTGGCTGCATTAATGTAAGATCAAGAGTATAAAGTCATTGGAAAAACTAATATTTTTATAGTTTTACATTTTGTTTGTGCGGAGTTGTAGTTTTCATTTAATCTCTAAATGATCCAAGTGTGATGATACTGGAGTAAATGAAGGCAGGTTTGTATGAACTGTGTTTTATAAATGCTGTGCTGTGAAGAAAAATTATTTAAAAAAAGGTTCATAAGAAATAAAAAAAAATGCAATAAAAGAAAAGAATAAAATTGTAGAAAAGAATATATATATAAACTTTATATTTCAAATATATATGGGTCAAAGACAAAAAAGGGTTCAAGCATAAAACAATAAGTAATACTGCTTTCAATTGTTTTTTTTTAATTTTCTGTTTAATTGCAATTTTGTTTTTGTTTTTCTGAGCAAAAAAATAAATATACATTTTCCCCTGATTTACAGAAGAGACCCACTAAAATATTCAGTGTAACAATCTTGTCAGGCATATTTACAACAAAAATCAATTTATGACACATTAAAAGACTAATTACTTTCACCCCAAATACTAATTAGTTGTAATTTTACATTTTTTAATTGTGCCACCCTCCTAGGTTTTGCCCATTTGTCAGTAAGAACTTTTTACTCATTTAAAACGCAATCAAATTTAATATTCTCCCTTATTCTTTTATATATTTTAATATGTACAGGTCAGAATAAGCATGTTTGAATTTGTACATAAATATTGTGTTACACACTGAATGACAATGTAACATTATTTCAACCAAATTGTAACATTTACAGGTCAGAATAAGCATGTTTGAATTTGTACATAAATATTGTGTTACACACTGAATGACAATGTAACATTATTTCAACCAAATTTTAACATTTTATTCTCCAAAAACTTATTTGAAACCTTAAAAGTAGACATTTTACTTACATTTAATGTGCTTTCTATAGACATAAAATCACTTTTGTACATTTCTTTTGATGCGGACATCTTAACATCTTTGACCCATGTATAAATTAACTTTATATTATTACCTGACAGACATGGTTTATTTGTCCAATTATATAAAAAGAAAAACTAGAACAGTGCTGCTCACAGAAACACATTTACATGCTAATTATACAACCTAATTATATTTCAGTTCAAAAGAACAAATAAATTTTGCATAAAGAAAATAAGGCTCATTGTTAGTGTCATTATTATTTTTTGCATACTGAATATATGAAGAGTTCAGATGCAAAAGCCTCTAAGTGCCATCTGAAAATTTATTCTAAAATTAGAATTTTTATCAGGCTCCTATGTTTATGGTCATTTATTTCACTTTAATGGCATAGAAAAGGACCTATACATTGCTATTAAAGTGACATTTCTGAACATAAACATAGGAGCCTGATAACAATGCTAATTTTAGAAGAAATTTTCAGATGGCACTAAGGCTTTTGCATCTGAACTCTTCATATATTCATGACAGCTGAGCTTATTTTCCTACAATTTTTTTTCTGATGTGAAGAAAAATTATTTATATTGAAGTATTTTCACATCAGGGTTGTATTTGTTGAACTGCCTTTCATGTGCAGGGTTATTTTAGTATCATTAAGATACAATTATAGCCTTTAATGTTTCAATTAGTTTTTTTACAAATATTTGTTATTTTAATTTTAGTTAAAGTTGTAGTGTTTTTGTTGTGTATTTTTTTCATTTTTTCTATATAATATTTATTAATTTTTATTTCAGTTTTAGTTATTTTAGTGCGTCAAGTTAAACTAAAGGAAAATGAAAAATGTTGCCTTGCAAAGAACTAAAATAAAGTAAGTTTAGTTTATATAAATATGAAAATACATATATATATATATATTTATTTTATTTCCTTAAACATTTATTTTATTTTAAATAACAATCATGCTCTTAGAAACAGGCTTGGTTTGTTTAATATCCTGTGATTTCGGTGTGAGATGATGAAGATGATGATGATGAAGATGATGATAGTGATGAAGATTATGATGATGAAGATTATGATGATAATGATGAAGATTATGAAGATGATGATGATGATGACGATTATGAAGATGATGATGATAGTGATGAAGATTATGATGATGAAGATGAAGATTATGATGATAATGATGAAGATGATGACGATGAAGATAATGACGATGATGATGATAGTGATGAAGATTATGAAGATGATGATGAAGATAATGATGATAGTGATGAAGATTATGAAGATGATGATGATGAAGATAATGACGATGATGATGAAGATGATGATGATGATGATGAAGATTATGAAGATGATAATGAAGAAGATGATGATGATGATGAAGATAATGAAGAAGATGGTGATGAAGATGATGATGATGATTATGAAGATGGTGATGAAGATGATGATGAAGACGACGATGATGATGATGAGGATGATGATGAAGATGATAATGAAGAAGATGGTGATGATGAAGACGACGATGATGATGATGAGGATGATGAAGATGATAATGAAGAAGATGGTGATGATGAAGATGATGATGAAGATGATGATGATGATGAAGATTATGATGATAATGAAGATAATGATGATGATGATGAAGATGATCCTCACAGAAGGAAGGTCACCAGCGGATCTTCATGAGCTCATCTCTGGCATTTCACCTGCTCTGCTGCTTCCTGACTGGCATGTTAATATCTGTGTGAGTTCATTCCCAGCGCATCGATTCATGCAGGAGCGGCATATGGTCACAACAGGAGAGAAGCTCCTTCAGGAGAAGCGAGAGAGAGGCGAGTGTGACATGTGGCGGCTCTGCAGGCTCCAGATCAGTGTGTGTTTGGCTTCATATCAGTGTGTAATGAGACACAACTGCTCATCTGACCACACTCATCCAACCGGGGCTAGTTGTCACGTGGGGAAGTTGCCCCTCAGTAAATCCAGTTACACAAACACTTGTTCTTTTTCTCCAACAGTGGTTTTGTATGTTGGTTTTAAAGCTGTGTCTTATGTTACACTCTCAAAAAAAAGGTACAAAAGATGTCAGTGGGACGGTACCTTTTGTACCTTTTTTAGGTACCAGTATGCACCCTTTAGGTACAAAGTGACAGCTTTTGTACCTTTTTTTTCTGAGAGTGTAGAATATTTGGTGCAATCATCATCATATTTCATTTATTTCTGTCACATATTTGATTTATTCACATATTTTTGTGTATTGCTAACTAAAGCTAAAAGTATTTAAAATAATTTTCAGTAATTGAAGTAAAGCTGATATAAAATAAAATATAAATATTACATGAAAAAAAAACGAATGAAATGCTGCCTGGCTAATAAATAAGTACTTTTTTATTTGAAAAAGTTGAAATGACTAAAACTGAAATTAAAAAAATTAAAGCTACATAGAAATCTAAAAAAAAAAAAAAAAATGACAAGCACATTAAAAAATTACTAAATCTTAAACTGAAAATATAATATAAAAAATAAAAGATGATTTTAAATAATTATAAATTGTTTATAATATCATTTATACCGTTTTTTTTAATGACAATTTCTGTTGGCCAAAACAATGCAATGATATTTTTGTATGCTGGGCATTTTTGCTGTTTCTTGAATTGTTTTGCACTTCATAGCTGTTTTACTGATTCAGTTCTGTTTGGCCCACTGTGACAACATGCCCCACTATAGCCCAACATGTGCCCGGACGGCTGTATATTTTTATAGCACCATAAAAACAGGTTTTGTTGTAGTCAAGACTTTTAAAAATAAACCCACTCTGAAAATATTCACTGGAGTGAAAGTGACAACTTGCCCCGGTGTCTCTACATTTAATGATAACTATCATAAATCATCTGCTATTGATTTGTCACTAATAGAATTATGTTTTGTAAGCGACTGCAGGCGCTGATGAGCAGAGTTTGAATGCACAGACGCCACAGGGAGATATTGACTGACTTCTGCTAATGAGATTCAGTCATCTCTTACAGAAAACTAATGAAGGTTACCTGAGACGAGCTAATGTCAGAGCAGCTGAACATCGCCCTGCGGTTTAGGAGTGAAGCTGAACGCTGACTGATAGTTTCCATATGGAGAGAACTTGAGATAAATTAGCATTTATATGCGCAGACAGGCTGTTAAGTTTATTTCTAGAACAGAATCGATCTGCACGTCGTCTCACGCAGTGCTTTTAGTGTCCATTTCACATTAGTCAGACGATGCTTCTGCGTTAAGTATGTTTTAAGGTTTGACAGAAGCCGGATGAGTAACTTCACTTACATCACTTTTTAAAATTGAGGCTGGATTTCTGAGATGATGTGGATTATTACCTTTGAGTCTAAAGCAGTTAAAGCAGTAGTTCAGGAAAAAATGAAAATGTGCTCATCTTTAGATAATCCAAGATATAGTTTGTTTCTTCATCAGGTTTGTAGAAATGTAGCATTGCATCAGTGTCTCAGCAATGGATGCTCTGCAGTGAATGGGTGCCGTCAGAATGAGAGTCCAAACAGCTGATAAAAACATCACAATAATCCACAAGTAATCCACAGCACTCCAGTCCATCAGTTAACATCTGGAGAAGACAAAAGCTGAAACACATCCAGCATTAAGACGTTTTTAACTAAAATACATCGAGTCCATAATCCATAATAACACTTCCTCCAGGGAAAAAGTGTTCTGGTGTGAATCAGGAGAGAAATCTGCACAGATCAAGCAGCGTTTAAACAGCTCTAAACACATATGAGAGACAACAGCAGATGCACTTTTTCACTGGAGGAAGAGTTATTATGGATTATGTTTTTTTTTTAATTGAGTTAAAAACGTCTTAATGCTGGATGTGTTTCAGCTTTTGTCTTTATCTCCTGAGTTTTTCGTTCATTTGTCATGTAACAGATGCAATGAATATATCCTTCGTGAATGATCCATCACTAGTGTATTTCAGGGACTTTTCGTGATTTTTATAGGCTATAGTTATTTGTTTATTAACTGTTCACCTTCCTAAGGGCTGTTAGCATCCATATGCTGTATACATATAGTAACATATTTGGTTACACTTTATTTTAAGGTGTCCTTGTTACAGTGCAATTATTTGTTTACTGAGTAATATTAATTAACATCATGTACTTACCATAGGGTTAAGGTTAGGAATATTATTAGGATTAGGGTCACTTGCATGTAATTATGCATAATTAAGTGTTATTATAATAGTAAGTACATGTAACAAGGCCACCCATTTTTCTTACATAAAGGTAGTTCACCAAAGGAAAAAAAAAGGAAATATAAAACATTTAAAAGTCAACAAATAATTTATATATAATAATATTGCGCATGCAGTGATGAAATGTGTGACGCGGACGCGCGCTCTCTCGCGGACGCGTGGACAGCGGGAGCGCGCGTGTGATTGGCCGCGGACCCTGCGCGTTCACGCTCTAGTGGTGAGATTGGAGGACGGGGAAGCGATAGTTGTGACACCGAGGGGCAAATAACTCATCGCTTCCAATGAATAACTACCCCTTCAGCTCGACCGCCAGCTGACGCACTGCCCTGCGCGAACCCACGCGGACGGAGGAGCGACGCGGCGCGATTGTGTGAGGTAAGCGTGTGTTTATTCGACTGAAACACCTTCCTCTCTCGCATCCGTCGGTGCGTCCCGTCCTCAGGCCGCGTGTATCGCGTGCGTCGAGGCGCGTTGTTGTGTGTCAGTGTTGTGGTTTTGTGTGAGCGCGTCGTTCTCCATCATCACATCGCCTGTGAGACTCTTCATCTTTATTCCTCACTGCAGCTCCAGTCTGTATGCTGCCATCAATGTCTTCATCAGGATCTGTGCTTTATATTCTCATAATAGCTTTAGCATCTCTATCTGTCTGTCATTCATTGTTTCTGTTTATCATTTTATCTATCTGTTTGTCTGTCTGTAATCTGACTCTCTGTCTGTATTCTGTCTGTAATCTGTCTGTCTCTCTGTCTGTCGTTCATTGTTTCTATTTATAATTTGAGCTATCTGTCTGTATTCTGTCTGTAATCTGTCTGTATTCTGTATGTAATATGTCTAATCTGTCTGTAATGTCTGTAATGTGTATTCTGTCTATAATCTGTCTGTCTGTCAATAATCTGTATTCTGTCTGTAATCTGTCTGTCTCTGTCGTTCATTGTTTCTATCTATCTATCTATCTATCTGTATTCTGTCTGTAATTTGTCTCTCTGTCTGTCTGTCATTCATTGTTTCTATTTATCATTTTATCTAACTGTCTGTAATCTGTATTCTGTCTATAATGTGTCAGTAATCTGTCTATCTATCTGTCTGTCTTCTGTCTTTCTGTCTCTAATCTGTCTGTAATCTGTCTGTATTCTGTCTAATGTGTCTGTAGTCTGTCTGTAATCTGTCTATCTTTCTGTCTCTATTCTGTCTCTATTCTGTCTGTAATCTGTCTCTGTCTATATTCTGTCTGTATTCTGTCTCTGTCTATATTCTGTCTGTATTTTGTCTCTCTGTCTATATTCTGTCTGTAATCTGTCTGTCTGTCTATATTCTGTCTGTATTCTGTCTGTCTGTCGTTCATTGTTTCTTTTTATCATTTGATCTATCTATCTGTCTGTCTGTATTCTGTCTGTAGTCTGTCTATCTGTCTGTCTGAATTCTGTGTAATCTGTCTGTATTCTGTCTGTAATCTGTCTATCTTTCTGTCTCTATTCTGTCTGTAATCTGTCTCTGTCTATATTCTGTCTGTATTCTGTCTCTGTCTATATTCTGTCTGTATTTTGTCTCTGTCTATATTCTGTCTGTAATCTGTCTGTCTGTCTATATTCTGTCTGTAGTCTGTCTATCTGTCTGTCTGAATTCTGTCTGTAATCTGTCTGTATTCTGTCTGTAATCTGTCTATCTTTCTGTCTCTATTCTGTCTCTCTGTCTCTATTCTGTCTGTAATCTGTCTCTCTGTCTATATTCTGTCTCTGTCTGTATTCTGTCTGTATTCTGTCTGTATTCTGTCTGTAATCTGTCTGTCTGTCTATATTCTGTCTGTATTCTGTCTGTCTGTCGTTCATTGTTTCTATTTATCATTTGATCTATCTATCTATCTGTCTGTCTGTATTTTGTCTGTAGTCTGTCTATCTGTCTGTCTGAATTCTGTCTGTAATCTGTCTGTCTGTCCGGCAGGAGTATCCAGTGGCGCCGGCGGAAGCAGCTCTGGCCGTTCCTCTGCTCCAGTATGGCTCAGCCGAGCTCGTGTGCTCAGAGCAGTAACGGTGTGGCCGACGAGTCTCCCAACATGCTGGTCTACAGGAAAGTAAGTGAATCATCATCTCCTACAACACCTGCAGACATGAACGGTCCTGCTCAATCAGCATTAGATCGCTTAGATAACTCCATATCGATGTGCGCTGATTTAATTTCTGCAGCTGCCTGTCTTTTCGATGCTCAGTCAGGACGTGTGTGTTGGTGTTGTGAAGGCTTTGACACCATGAGTTCTCCCCAGTGTTCAGTGGCGATAAAGCAGGACTAAAGCTGCTGAATCTCCTTCAGTTTGAAGCTGTTTGCATTTTATAACTTTATTCATCATGCAACGAAATTTAAGAATTACTCTTCATTAGTAACAGACTTCATCTCAGCGTGCTTTGAAATCGGTTTGGTTTTGAAACATGAAGAGCTGGAGTTTGTAGGTGTGATTTCAGATGTACAGATGTTGCACTGATATCTCAAACGGAGCTGCTCTCATCCTCACAGATGGACGTGAAACCGTGTTTGAGCTGAGAGACTCTGACAGCTGCCATGTTTCAGAGACTTGAGGAACGATGGTGTGTTATTATATTGTTAGTTAACTGCTAGTTCTGTTCCACTAATTCATTTGGACAAGCGACAATTCCAAAGTGTAGATGTTTCGTATAACGTCTTTTTGAATTATTTTCATTGATTAACTCTTGTGCTGAATATCCCTACTTAATTTAGTGTTTTTAGTCAAAAATGACTGGCTTTTAAAAAATTGCTCGTAAATCTCTTATTATCACCAAATCTTGGATTTGTATTTCAAGTTTTGTATTTCTTTTTGGAGCTGATTGATCTTAGGCCTCATTGAACTGAGCTTATGCACCTCAGTTTTTGAATGAATAAAGAATATTTGTGAATAATTTTGGCAGTATTCACTCAAAAAGTGAGGTTAGATCAATGAGTCCTACAATCAGTCAGCTCCATAAAGACATACAAAACCTGTGCAAACAAGAAAACAAGTTAATAAAAAGATTGAATCCCAGATTTGGTAATAATATAGCATAATGAGGGACTAATTTTTGACACCACAAGTGTAACAAGTTGGGGGGAAAAATCCCAAAAAAGTGCAAAAAATTATCCAGTTTTTTGGTAAGTTGTTATACCCTGTGTGCGTGAAGACAGTATGTTTTAGTCCAATTTGATAACGTTAATAATAATAATAATCTTTATTTTATATAGCGCCTTTAAAGTAGCTTCTCAATGCCCTTTACACAGTAAAACAGAGGAATAAAAATACAAAGCATACAAAGCAAAAACGGGTAAAAGAAGCAAATAACAACTAACCTAAAAAAAGTGTGTGTTTAGATAAGATGAGGGTTAAACACAAACTGTAACACTTTACATTAAAATCTCATTACTTAATGCATTAAATAACATTAACTAACAATAAGGAATAGATTTTGGTTCATCATTTATTAATCTTTGTTAATGTTTGTTCATGTTAGCTCTGGTCTGTTAAATAATACTAACAAATGCAACTTTTGATTTTAATAATGTATTAATAAATATTGAAACTAACATCAACTAAGATTAATAAATGCTTTAGAAGTATTTTTCATAGTTAACTCATGTAGTTGGAACTGTATTGTAAAGTGTTACTGCAAAAGCAAATAAAATATTTTGCAATATTGTGTCTGAAATATCTGTAACTCTATATTAAGTGAAGTTAACATGAAATAAATTTGTTGCTGCGTACGTTCCTGATATTTATTGTGCAAGAATTATTATTCCATACATTATTCTAAGTTGACAAACGTTTATTTTCATAATCTTTCATTAAAATGTAATAACTTTCTCATTGAAGTCCTCTTTCTGTTTCAGTCCCTACAATCTACATGGCTTGATTCTGGTCAATTTCCCATGTTACTTTTTGTGTTGTTAAATATCATTTTTCACTCAGAAATATGTCAATTACAGAAGTAGATCATGCAAATTGGAAAATTATGGAAATAAATTGTGATGTTATTGGCTTTTCATGTTGACTTCTTGTTTACAGACCTATTATATAAAAGCAGCATCACACTCGCAGTCGTTGATGAATTCCCAGCTTTACACAAGTTATTTTGGTTCGGTTCGGACGAGGCCTTTGGCTCCTGGTCTTTCCACCCTTCCACTGCCACCCCATCAGATTAACTGTGTTTGGTGCACTGTCAAAGCTTTAGGTCACTAACTGGTAGAGCGATTGGAGTCCAGCTGGAGGCGACACAAGTGCATCAGCGTGTTTCCCCTGCAGGATGATATTTGGGCTCTTGTGAAGTGTGCTAATGGCTCATCACTGACGCGTGTGTGGGCGAGCGCCTCGTCTGCGTTGCCATGTTTGTAGGTGGTTTTGTAAGTACGTTGGTGTGTGTAGCTCTGGTTTGCTTTGCCATGCAGAAAAGTGAAACTTTTCAAGCATCAGGCTAGTGCTGGTTCTTTACTCAGGCTCCTGAACTAATTTCCACCGCAGGCGTGTTGATGCTGTCATTCAGAATTGTCAGCGATGACAGTGACATGGTCCTTATGCACAAACATTACAACAGTGGCCTCAAATGTATTTGCACACTTAAAAATGTCTGAATGACCTTGCATTAGAAAAAAGATCAAATCAAGATCATTTATTGTAAAGAAAGATGCAAAAGGAAGTTTGTTGGGTTTTAGATGCTGAATCAATAGATGTTTAAGATTAAGTTAGGTTAGTGGTTAGTTAGTGAGTCATGTTAATAGTTCATGTGATTCTGTGTGAACTTGAGCAGAACTGACTTCACCAAAACCAAATGATCACCAAAACGCTCTGACACTTCAAACAGTTCTTAGAAAATTGTGAGATATAAACTCGCAATTCTGAGGAAAAAAAGTCAGAAACTTAGAATTACGAGTTTATAACTTGCAATTGGGAGATTTTAACTCACAGTTCTGAGAACAAAAGTCGTCAAGAGAACAAAACGCAAGACGCAAAGTCAGAATCGCGAGACGTAAAGTCAGAATTGAGAGATGCAGAGTCAGAATCGCGAGATCGCGAGATGCAGTCAGAAAAGCAAGACGTAAAGTCAGAATCGCCCGACGAGTCTCCCAACATGCTGGTCTACAGGAAAGTAAGTGAATCATCATCTCCTACAACACCTGCAGACATGAACGGTCCTGCTCAATCAGCATTAGATCGCTTAGATAACTCCATATCGATGTGCGCTGATTTAATTTCTGCAGCTGCCTGTCTTTTCGATGCTCAGTCAGGACGTGTGTGTTGGTGTTGTGAAGGCTTTGACACCATGAGTTCTCCCCAGTGTTCAGTGGCGATAAAGCAGGACTAAAGCTGCTGAATCTCCTTCAGTTTGAAGCTGTTTGCATTTTATAACTTTATTCATCATGCAACGAAATTTAAGAATTACTCTTCATTAGTAACAGACTTCATCTCAGCGTGCTTTGAAATCGGTTTGGTTTTGAAACATGAAGAGCTGGAGTTTGTAGGTGTGATTTCAGATGTACAGATGTTGCACTGATATCTCAAACGGAGCTGCTCTCATCCTCACAGATGGACGTGAAACCGTGTTTGAGCTGAGAGACTCTGACAGCTGCCATGTTTCAGAGACTTGAGGAACGATGGTGTGTTATTATATTGTTAGTTAACTGCTAGTTCTGTTCCACTAATTCATTTGGACAAGCGACAATTCCAAAGTGTAGATGTTTCGTATAACGTCTTTTTGAATTATTTTCATTGATTAACTCTTGTGCTGAATATCCCTACTTAATTTAGTGTTTTTAGTCAAAAATGACTGGCTTTTAAAAAATTGCTCGTAAATCTCTTATTATCACCAAATCTTGGATTTGTATTTCAAGTTTTGTATTTCTTTTTGGAGCTGATTGATCTTAGGCCTCATTGAACTGAGCTTATGCACCTCAGTTTTTGAATGAATAAAGAATATTTGTGAATAATTTTGGCAGTATTCACTCAAAAAGTGAGGTTAGATCAATGAGTCCTACAATCAGTCAGCTCCATAAAGACATACAAAACCTGTGCAAACAAGAAAACAAGTTAATAAAAAGATTGAATCCCAGATTTGGTAATAATATAGCATAATGAGGGACTAATTTTTGACACCACAAGTGTAACAAGTTGGGGGGAAAAATCCCAAAAAAGTGCAAAAAATTATCCAGTTTTTTGGTAAGTTGTTATACCCTGTGTGCGTGAAGACAGTATGTTTTAGTCCAATTTGATAACGTTAATAATAATAATAATCTTTATTTTATATAGCGCCTTTAAAGTAGCTTCTCAATGCCCTTTACACAGTAAAACAGAGGAATAAAAATACAAAGCATACAAAGCAAAAACGGGTAAAAGAAGCAAATAACAACTAACCTAAAAAAAGTGTGTGTTTAGATAAGATGAGGGTTAAACACAAACTGTAACACTTTACATTAAAATCTCATTACTTAATGCATTAAATAACATTAACTAACAATAAGGAATAGATTTTGGTTCATCATTTATTAATCTTTGTTAATGTTTGTTCATGTTAGCTCTGGTCTGTTAAATAATACTAACAAATGCAACTTTTGATTTTAATAATGTATTAATAAATATTGAAACTAACATCAACTAAGATTAATAAATGCTTTAGAAGTATTTTTCATAGTTAACTCATGTAGTTGGAACTGTATTGTAAAGTGTTACTGCAAAAGCAAATAAAATATTTTGCAATATTGTGTCTGAAATATCTGTAACTCTATATTAAGTGAAGTTAACATGAAATAAATTTGTTGCTGCGTACGTTCCTGATATTTATTGTGCAAGAATTATTATTCCATACATTATTCTAAGTTGACAAACGTTTATTTTCATAATCTTTCATTAAAATGTAATAACTTTCTCATTGAAGTCCTCTTTCTGTTTCAGTCCCTACAATCTACATGGCTTGATTCTGGTCAATTTCCCATGTTACTTTTTGTGTTGTTAAATATCATTTTTCACTCAGAAATATGTCAATTACAGAAGTAGATCATGCAAATTGGAAAATTATGGAAATAAATTGTGATGTTATTGGC